CAAAAGCCACTGGGTCCAGGACTCAAACCACAGTCGACCATGTGGGAGTCCAATGCCTTAACTACTATGCCATCTACTGGCCCCAAGGTTTACACATTTTTTTAGAGATATTTTTGCTATAGAGCATGTGTGACCACCACAGAGACAAAAAGAAAAAAAAAATCACCCCCAGAGGAAATGACAACACAATCCCTAACCCTCCATTTTCCTCTCTAGGAATGTTGGGCTTTCACGCACATGCCCCTGGTGTGAGTTTTAAGCTACTGGGTCCAAAACTTCAACTATGGTCAACTACATGGGAGTCCAGTGATATAACCATTATGACATTTGCTGCTCTTGGTTTATTATGCTTTAATCTAGGTTGTGTTGGTTAATCATTGCTGAGATCACTGACTGTTCTCATCTCATTGGCTATATTAAATATGGCTGGGGCTACTGATTCATCTCATTGACTATATCAAATGTGTCTGGGAGGGCATTGATTCATCTCATTGGCTATATCAAATGTGACTAGGGTCACTGATTAATCTCATTGGCTATATTAAATATGGTGCAATCATCTAGACACACACCTCCCCCACAATAATCTCCCACCTAGTGGGAACAAATTCATACTCATGACCACCCAGTGGAATCAACCCTGCCAACACCTTGACTTCACACTTCTAGTCTCCAGAATTATGAGACAAAACAGTACTGTTATTTAAATCACCTATTTTATGGTACTTTGTTGCAGCTGTCCAAGCAAGTGAATAAATACACAGGCTTCAAAAATTCTCAAAATCAAGACATAATTAGAAGGGCTAGCAGATGGTGTAGCAGTTACATCACTAGACTCCCACACAGTCAACTACAGTTCTAGTCTCAGACTTATGACTTGAAAATCACACCAGCAATGTGTGTGTGTGTGTGTGTGTGTGTCCAACATCCTGGGAAGAAAATGGAGGAGAAGGGATTGCAGCATGGCTATTGGCCAAGAGTGTGATTTCTTACTTTCCCTCTCTCTGTTTCTGCCTCTCTCTCTTTCCAGTGAAGGCACACACTCTAAGGCAAAAATATAAAAAAAAAGACACAATAAAATATGATAATTGTAGAACTAAAAGAGTATGAAGTGATGTTTGGATATAAACAAAATCCATGAACAAAGGCTTCCTTTATACTCAGGAAAGCCCTGCAGTGACCTCATCATTGAGAAGCATCCCCTTACCAAGGAGTCTCTCCAGGGCGCCCTTCATGTCCCTGTTCCTCAGACTGTAGATGAAAGGGTTCAGCATAGGGGTGACCATGGTGTACATCACTGAGACCATCATATTCATCCTAGAGGATGCTGTGGCTGCAGAACTGAGGTAGACCCCCAGGCCTGTGCCATAGAACAGGGACACCACTGAGAGGTGTGATCCACAGGTGGAGAAGGCTCTGTACTTGCCCTCAGCTGATGAAATTCTGAGGATGGAAGAAAAAAAATTGATAGTAAGAGAAAAGTATTCCAGTGAAAGGAATCACAGCCAAAAGGCCTGTTGCACAGTACACCACTATGTTATTGACGTGGATATCAGAACAGGCAAGCTTCAGGACTTTGGGAAGATCACAGAAAAAGTGTGGGATTTCTATGTTTGTGAGAAGGACAGCCTCAAAACGGTCAAGGTCTCAAGAAGAGAGCCCATGACACTAATGCACCAGGCTCTAAGAATCAGCAGCTCACAAAACTAGGCATTCATAATGACTGTGTAGTGCAAGGGGTGACAGATGGACACAAACCGGTCATAGGTCATCACAGTCAGGATTAAATTGTCCAGGCATCCAAACACAATGAAAAAAAAAATCTGAGTTAGGCAGTCTGTATAGGTGATGACGTTGCTCTGTGTCTGTATGTTTACCAATCTCTTTGGGATGGTGGTGGAGGTGAAACAGATGTCAGCAAAGGACAGGTTGGAGAGGAAGAAGTACATGGGATGTGCAGGTGGGAGTCTGAGATGATGACCAGGATAATGAGTAGGTTCTCGATGATGGTGACCAGGTACATGGACAGGAACAGCCCAAAGAGAATGAACTGAATCTGACTTTGCTGAAAATCCCAGGAGGAGAAATTCAGCAACACATGTTTTATTTCCTTTTTCCATGGGAATGAAATAGCTTCCAGGAAAGAGGAAAGAAGTAACAGACAATTAACACAATGAGAGCACTGAAATTTGGTTACATTCAATTTCAAGCAAAAGAATTCATGCAATCATTCCTTTTCCTTCTTTTCTTCCATTGGGGAATTTGAAATGCTTCCATTCTTTCCCTTGCTACCACTACTCTTTTTATCTGTTTGTTTGTTTATTTATTTATTTGAGTTTGTTTTACACATTCAATCACTCTACATCACTTAGCTTGTGAAGTGAGTTTATCCAACATGAGTACACTTCACACCAGCCCAGTCGAGGATATTATACATTCTATCATCAACAAATAATAATCAATTTTTGTATTGCATAAATGTCTATTTTACTCCTTAATTTCTTTCCTACAATTTCTCCCTTCTCCCACCTTATTCCCACACTATCTCCAGTATTCATAACCATTCTGCATGGTTCTATATCTGCTATTCTTTCAGATTTAGTCATAGAGTGCAGATCTTCAGTATAAAACATAACTTAGGTTCTATGATATTTACACACTTCACAGGCTGGCTTCCCACTGACTAGCCAGAAGCAGAATAGAGACTTAGGTAAGCACACTTGACAAAAATATGCACTCTCCAAAATTATTGGGCCACTGGAAAACTCATGATGTCTTTTTCTATGGTTTTCTATGTAAAAGTGCATCATGACTTTTCTGACAACCCAATCATTTAGAAGAGTAATTAAGGAAACAGATAACCACAAACCATATTAAGCCCCAAGGTGGAGAGAGAATTAAATTTCTAGAGTCACCACATTATATTATTCAAAATACCCAGCTCTTAACAATGAGGCAGACAATGAAAAAATAAAGCATGGCATAGGAAAACATTAATTAATAAAACCTGACCCTGAGAAAGCTCAAGTATTAGACTTACAGAGAAACACGTTATTTTGTTATTATTATTTTTTATGAATTTTGCCTTAGAGCATTTAACCAAAGAAAGACAGAGAGATATGGTGAGATGGAAAGCGAGAAATCATCCCCCCAGGGGGGTCGCCATGCCACAGTCCCTTCTCCTCCATTATACTCGTGAGATTTTGGGCATACATGCACATATGCCTGAAGTGATTTTCAAGCCATCAGGTCCAGGAATCAAACTGTGGTTAGCCATGTAGGAGTACTGTGTTGTAACCACTATACTACCTGTTGGTCCCGACATTGGATTCTAAACGTCACCTGTTGTAGCTGTAATTTCACAAGCATTCTCTGAGATCTTTAGAGGACAGAATTCTAACTACTTTCTTATTCTAAGATACTTTCTTTTTTATTTTTTTCTTTCCTTTTTTTTTTACATTCAATGACTGTACATCACAATAGCATACCAAATGAATTTTCCAAGCATGACTACACTGTATATTAGTCCAGTCAAAGATATTACCGTACACATTATTACCAACAGATAATTTTCCCTTTTTGTGTCCTTTAAACATTTCAGTTCTTTTCCTCCCACCCCCAATTTCCTACCCTCCTTCCACTGTCTCTAATATCCACAATTGTTCTCCATGCTTTTATACCTTATGATCTTTCAGTTTCTGCCCTAGAGTGAAGACATTTGGTATATATTAAGTGGGAACTCTAAGATACTTTCTAAGGGGCCCTAAGGAGTCACATCTACAAACACTAATCTTGCTGTAACTGACTACTGTTTTTTTAAAGACTTATTTATTGGAGCCAGCAGATGATGTGTGGTTAATGTGTTGGACTCACACATGGCTGACTGTGGTTCAAGTCCTGGATCTGGCAGCTTGCTTCCTCACTTTTTTTATTTTTCTGTCTCTCTGGTCAAGTTAAATAAATAATAATAATAATAAATAAGATTAAATAAGCATTTAAAAAAAAAACATAAGAAACCTTAAAAAAAAAAAGAAGAAAATTATTTTTTTAATTTTATTTGACCAGAGAGAGAAAGTGAGAAAGCAAACTGCTAGGTCCAGGACTTGAACCATGGTTAGCCAAATGGGAGTCCAGTGCCTTAGCCACCTAACCACCTGCTTGCCCCATGTCATAGACTCCTTTGTTCCAGTGATTGTAGAATTCTCCCTACATCCTAGTCCTGGCATAATGTTACTAGATACATAGTATCTACGTGTAGATACAGCAGATACATAAGCTTTCTTATCTCTGTTAAAGTTAAACACAGATATCCTTTTGCTGATTGCCTTTTGGAGACAAAGACTTGTGCTTTTAATCAATTCTAACCTAAGAATTTCTAAACCCACCCATAACCTAAAACTGCTCTCCTTCCCGGTATCCCAACTTTTTGGAGGTGGGCTAATGTAAAAATTTTATATGCTGATTAGCAATTTTGTGTCTCCTATCCTACTTTCAGAACTTAAAACAAATTTAAAATAAAAGACAAAAACACTGTATCTGAGCATGTCAAAAAACACTGTGTATTTTCCCAGCCTGATCACTTATATTAGTGCTTAGAATATACTACTTCAATTATTAGTATTAATTTTTTACAGAGCTTTGGTTATTTCTTTTTTGTAATTTTTTTACTTTATTTAATTTTTAAAAAATTTTAAAAACATATTTTAACCTTTACAATCTGTGTATTCTTCTAAAAATAACTTCAACATTGTTGATTTTTGTTTTACATTTTAAAAATTTACATTTAATCACTGTACATCTTTACAGTATACAACATGTTTTTAAAATTATTTTATTTAACTTTATTTATTCATTTATTTATTTATTTCAATTTAACCAGAGAGGGATAGAGAGAGAGAGAGAGAGAGAGTGCAAGCTGCCAGGTCCGGGACTTGAACCATAGTCAGCCACGTGGGAGTCCAGCACCCTTAACCACCAAGCCGCCTGCTAGCCCTTACAACATGTTTTTTTCCCAGCATGAATACAATTCAAGTCAGGTCAAAGATATTAGAGTCTTGATTATTTCTACTGGCACATTATTTATTTATTGTTTTTAGGATTTTGCCATAGGGTGTGTGTGCTCACACGAGAGAGAGAGACAAAGAGAGTGAAAGTGAGACATCTCTTCCCAGGAAGATAGCCACACAACAATCCCTTCTTCTCCATTTTCCTCTCTGGATTTTGGGCACCCATCACAGGTGCCCTGTGTGATTTTCATGCTGCCAGGTTCGGGACTTGGACCATGATCAGTCATGTGGGAATCCAGTGAATTAATTATCATGCCATCTGGTGGCTTCTCTATTGACACATTTTTTTAAAAAGAGAGATTTTTTTTGCTATAGGGTATGTGTACTCACTGGAGAGACAGAGAAACAAGAAGCAAGAAATCACTCTTCCAGAGAGAAAGGCTATGCCACAATCTCTTCTCCTCCATTTACCTCTTGGGATTTGGGACATGCATGCACACGTGTCCAGCATGAATTTGAAGTCTCCGGCTCTGGATCTTGAACCATCGTCTAAGTTGGAGTCCAGCAATGTAAGCATTATGCCATCTGCTGATCCCTCTATTGCCACATTTTATACTCACAGTTGTTCTGATGAGAAATAGATCCACAGAACCTAAGAAACATTTCCAGGGTCCATCAGGTCATGAAAGAAAAAGGCTGAAGTAGAACTCACTTTTGTTGGAGTCCAAGTCAAAAACTTTCTCACTCCTTGGGGCTGCCTCCCTCAGTCAATGTCCTACAGTTAAGAGGAAATGATAAAAGAGAAATAGAGCTGAATCCCTGGGACTTAAAAATATGTAATGAAAGGAGAGTGGTTCTGGAATTGTTCTCTGAGATTAAAAGCAAGAAGAGGGCCAGCAGGGGTCATGGAGGTGAAAGTGGCTGGATTCCACATGGCCAGCAGCAAGGTTAGAGTCTCAGATCCAGCAGCTTAAAAAATCACCTGGAAGTATATATGTGCATGCCCAAAATCCTGAGAGGAGAGTGGAGGAGATGGGATTGTGGTGTGGCCATCTCCCAAGGCAATGATTTTTCACTTTCTCTCTCTCTCTCTCTTTCTGGAGAACACATATGCCCTATGTTAAACAAACACAATAAAAGAACAAAGAAACTTGGAGTAGGCTGCACAGATTTCCTGCAGAGCTAGAGATATGAACTATAGGACTTTGAATCAATCCCCTTTCACTAGCTCATTATCCTAGACTATACCCCAGAAGGCACCTCTAATGCAACTCTTTCCTTCCCTCCACACCACTTTCTCATGGTACTTAGCAGAATTGCTCTGGTTTCTCCTGATGGTATCATTTAACAGACTTGGCTTTCCTGTTCCTTCCTTCCTGGGACTATGGGTGTCAGGGAGTGGATGTCAGACCGTGGTTCTCTGGACCGAATGAGCATTTTGGAGAGGTATAGAGAGGGTACTTGTAGCCTGGACCTGGAGAGCTGTAGCTAAGCTCTGCAGATGGAGGACTTGCAGTTATGGAGACTCAGTGAATTCTCAGAGCTCTTCATTAAAACAAAACTAAACAATGCATTACTTTATTGACTTTAATGTTGCTAAATTCTCTGGGCAATTCAGCTGCTGGGCACCCAGGGACCCATAACTTGAAGGAACTTTTTCTCCATGGATTTGCCTTTGGGGCCAAATATACCCTCCTTTCCTACCAATGGTGCCCATCTCCCCTGGAGTGAGCATTCCCTAATGGATATATCCTCTCAGGTAGAGAAAAATCTTGATGACCACCCTTGTGAACCTCCAAGTTGCTGTGAGCAACTGAGATTCCAGAGTCTGACTTAGAGATATGGGTATGTTGGGACCAGCAGTTGGCATAATGGCTTTGTCACTGGACTCCTTTGTAGTCTATCTTTCTAGCAAGTGCACATGCTGTACAGCAAAAATCTTTAAAAAAAAAAAAGAAAAGAAAAAGAAAAAGAAAAGAAAAGAAAGAGATATGGGTATGTTCCTTGTGGAGATGTACATAAGCAAGTGGGAGCATAATAGATATGTCAGATGTTATCAGTGAGATTGCCTTGGGGCCAGCAGGTGGTATAGTGGTTAAGGCACTGGATTCCCACATGGCTGACTGTGGTTCAATATTCAGACCTAGCAGCTTGAAATTATGCTGGGTGCATGTGCACACATGTCCACAATCCTAGGAGGAAAATGAAGGGGAAAGGACTGGGGCATGGCCATCCCCAAGGAGGAGCAATTTCTCGCTTTCTCACTCAGTATCTCTCTTTGTCTCTCTGGCAAACGCATGCGCCCTATGACAAAACCAAAAAAAAAAAGAATGAAGATGCCTTTGGGCCAGCAATATTTCTGCATGGTTGACCATGGGTCAAGTACCACCAGACTATCAGCTTGGAATGAAGCCAGGTGTGTGCATTTGTATGCCCCAAATTCCAAGAGGAGAAGGAATTGTGACATCCATCTCTCCCAGAGGGGTAATTTTTCACTTTCCTTTTCCCTGTCTCTGTTTGCCTTTGGTAAGCATAGGAACCCTACAGCAAAAACTTAAATAAAATAAAATAATGAGGTTGCCTCTTCACTGGTGAGACTTCAAGACACAAGTTGTCCTCCATGCAGGTGTTGTATTTGCACTTAATCTAGTTGGATACAAATGTCCCACAAATTGAAATGCATTCTTTTTTTTATTATTATCATTTCCTTCTGTTTCCTTGAGTTCTGGCCTTTGTTTTATGAGTCATCTTTGGAAATACTCTGAACCTAGATTCTCATGTTTTTTCTATTTTAATAGCTATATTCTCATAGGAGCATAATCCTTACTATTGTGGGATTGTTTCTTTGTATACAGCAATGTGGTCATGGGGAAAATGAGGTGCACAGTGGATGTGGGGTGTGTTCAGGTCATTCTGGGATCAATCCTCCCCCTTCCCTGCACCCTGTCTGTGGAGGGATTGACTTCAGCAAGGTCAGTCCTGGTAGTAGAAAGATTAAGGATGGCTCCCCTAAAGAATATAGAAATGATGGGGCCAGCAGGCGGCATAGTGGTTAATGTGCTGGACTCTCACATGGATGACTGGCTGTGGGTGAGGTCTTGATCTGATGGCTTCAA